AAGACACAAGAATACACAGAGTCTCACTCGAGGCTCACAGCAAATAGTCCAGACTCCCAGGATGGGCTTTTCTTACTGCAGGGCTCAGTGGCTGCTGGGACATACCGGTTCCTCTCTAGGACATGGGGGGGGGGGTGAAAGAGGAAGAAAGAGAAGGAGAGAAGGGGGAGGGAGAGAGGGGAATTAGTTTCACTTCTGTTCGTGATCTTCTAACAAATCAATGTGCTTTTATAAAAGAAAGCCAAGCACAAATCGTTTTATTAAAATTATTAGTCTTTTTTCTAATTGTCAAAGTAATGTAATCTGTTTTATAAAATTAGAAAATACAGAACAGTAAAACCAAAAGTATCCACAAATTTTCTTCCCATAAATTTTTGACATAACTCCTTTAAGATTTTTTTTATACTTAAATTGATATAGCTCCATAAATGAGTTCATACATACATGGTGTTTTATAACTTACTCTCTGACATACCATTAATATCATGAGCAGTTTTCTTATAATTCTATAGTCTCTAATAGAACATGCTCTTAACAGCTGGCTTCCAGTCTGTTCTATCAATGTGTCACAGTTTATTGAACCAGTTCCCTCTACTTGGGCATATGGACTATTTTCAATCATTTACTGTTACACATAAACCTGCAGTGAATATCTTTATACATATCTTGGTGATGTTGGTCATTATTTTCTTAGGGAAAGGGCTTCAATCTCCAGTTTCAGGTTGCTTTTCTAGAATGCTGTAGGCGCTTGTGCTTCTGCCACATTGTGCACACCAAAACTGTACACTTAGGAGAGGAGAGAGAAGACCTGCCTAGTGTGCCAGTTTGGTATCTGCCATTTTTGCTCATCTTCATTTAAATAGATCAGAGGCCTGAAGATGTAGCTAGGTGGTAGACCACTTGTTTTATATGCCCAAGGACCTGGGTTTGATCTCTGGTGCCTGAAGATGGATGGATGGATAGACTGACAGACTTCCCAGCATGTAGTCTAACCAAATTTCAAGTGGAGATATCAGAACACCTGTGTTAGTTAGCTTTCTATCACTGTGGCAGAATAGCTGAGAAGATCAACTTAAGAGAATGAAAGGGTTGTTTAGGCTCACAGCCTCAGAGGTTCACTCCATTACTTTGGACCAAAAGTGAGGCAGAAGTGCATGACAGTGGGAGCATGTGGAGAAGGAAGAGGCTGCTCACATAGTGGTGGCCAAGAAAAGAGAGGGAGAAAGAAAGAGGAAGGGGCAGGGGATAAAATATAACCATCCAATCATGCTCCCTGTGACCTACTCCCTCCCTCTAGGTCCCACCTCCTAACCCCTCCACCACCTCTCAAGAGTGTGGCCAGCTGGGGACTCGGCCTTTAATGCCTCGGCCTTTAGGGACATCCCAGATCCAAACTATTAACACCCAAGGCCAGGAACTCAGAACTGGGTGACGGCCAAGTTGAAAGACTGGTGACTAAAGAACAGGTGGTCCCCTCTGCTCTGGTCCTGAAGCATTCATGTACTGTCTCAAACTGAGCAGGAAAATGCTTTAGTGAAGGGCCATCTCATCTACTTTGGGCAGCTACATCAAAACAACCTCAGGGTTCTCTCAGCACCCTGAATGTTCTGTCCACACATCAGCTGTGATGGGTGGGGAGCTGACTGGGCACTCTGCCCAGACCTACCCATCCACAGCTTGTAGGCATGGCCTGGGAACCCAGCAGAAGTGGCACTCACTTCCTCCGGGTCTGGAGGGCTTTGTAAGTTTCTAGTATCTTCTGTACAAGGCAGACAACTTCCTCACCAGTGGGGGATTGCAAGTTGTCAGTCTACACTTCCAGTGGGATTTTTCCCTAGTCAGACACTAGATGTGTGGCTGAGGTGCCTTGGACAAGTCCCTTCTCTGGCTCTTACTCAGTTTCCCCATGTAAACAGGAAGAAGTTGGCCTGGATTTGGTGAGTTACAATTCTTGTTTCCCAGAGGAGGAAGGAAGGGAGAGGACTCAGTTACCAAGTACCTACCAGTGTCAAGAGCTACCTGAAGCTCTGCACAGGCCTTTGACCTCATCTCAGCAATAGCAATGGAGGGAAAGGCCATCAATGTCCTCCAGTGCCAACACTACATCATTCTGTTTATTGCACCACAGTCTGGGAAATCAGGGTAGCCACTCCAGGTCCCAGTACCTGACCCCACCCTCTAAGTCCAGGCATCAGCATGTGAGTCAGGCTTGGCCAATCAGAACAGCCACCATGCTTTCAGGATTCCAATGGGAGTTATCCCTGGGACTTTTGCTGGAGGCGTTAAGAAGAGGTGGTTCCTTTGCCAGTTGTCCATTCTTGCTTCCCTGTGGAAAGACAGCTTGTTAATAAAGTGGCCACAAAACACCTGAGACAGGGAAACAGACTCATATAAGCTTCTTGGAGCTTCTAAAATGAGTTATGCTAAATCCAGACCTGCCTCTTAAGCTTTGTGGTTCAAGACCAGTTTATGTTATCTGCAACCTCAAGCCTCATCACTCACATTCTAGACATGACATGGGCATTGTGTTCTCATTATATTACAGATAGGGAAACTGAGGCTCAAGATACAAAGTTCACGCAGAGGTAGCAATGGCAGAGTAGGCACACTCAATGTGCTTTCCCCCCTTACCTCTGGCTTCTGCTCTGGGACTCAGTCCCCCTTTCTTAATTTCTTCCACAAAGCGCCAAAGCAGGGGCAGGGCTGTGGAGTCAAACCCATCCAGGTTCCAGGCCTGGTTCCAGGCTTTCTGTTTGATCTTGGGATGACTTACTAGCTGACTATTTTTGGATTTTTGAAACAACGTCTCACTGTGTGGTCTAGGCTGCCTTAAACTCGAAATTCTTCTGCATCGGCCTCCCAGATGCTGGGATTACAGGCCTATAGCATCACATTCTGCTTCCAGCTGACTGCCTCAGCTTTCTCATCTGCAAACAGGATGAGGACAGAGCCTCCCTCCTGGAGCAGGTGCATTAACTTAGGTAAAGCTCTCCAAACAGAGCCTGCACAGGATTGAAGACATAGGCTAACCTTTATTATTTACCTGTGTGTTGCTACTTGTTAGAAAACGACCTATCCCCACCATACCTGGTCCAGGTTACAGTATAGCCAATCAGTTACAAATGCCACAGCAAATCCACAGTACCCTGGTCACTGGAGGCTTCAAATAATGTTTGACATGGTGTTTTTAAAATGCTGATTTTTCAAAAAATGCTGATCCCCATTGGTAGAGCAGGACTAAATCTGCCCCAGGAAGTGAAACTTTGGAGTGGAATTCTAAGTAATCCTTTGCTGACTTTCAAGAAGCAGAAAGAAGGGGATCCCAGGCATTTCTGAGGCTCCCTGCCACTCCTGCACACCCCACAGCTGTGGAGAGGAAATGCCTGTCCTTACAGTTAATAACAGGTGCAACTCCAGGCACTCACTCAGTACCAAAGGGTGCATTAGTCCCACAAAATGTAAATGCTGAGATCCAAGAGAGGCTACCAGAAGTGAGAGGAACTTTCTGTGGATGCTGGTGATCCTGGGTACCCTAAGGTACAGGTCAGAGAAAGGCATGAGGAACCCTTATCTCTGAATCATACCAGTCAAGGTTGATACCCAAGCCTGCAGCTGTCCTGAATTCAACCACATGTCTCTTAGGCTTTACTGATGGCTCTGGAACCTCACCTTGCAGACAGGTTCAGAGTCTAGGACCTAGTGTAGAACTGGACTAAGTAAGCCCTTTGTATAGATGACATTATGGAACTTTCTAACCACCCTGCTAAGATAGAGAATATGGCTTGGCCTTGGCCCTTGGCCAGGATGGACGCACAGTTGTCTCTGTGACCCTGTGCAAGTTACATAACCTCTCAGGCCTCAGTGTCCTCATCTGTAAATAGAGATAATACTGCTGATAACACTGATTCGTGGAGGAGGGAGCATCCCTAGCTCTGGGAAGAGAGTGTCATAGTATGGGTTACAGAGGTAGGCCCTAAGGACAGAAAGAGGACTACAGTCCACCTCCCTTATCTGTGGAAATTAGCCCCATCAGAGCTCCTGCCGTTCCCATGAGCACTCACCACTGCAGGTGGATTGGCCCCCTGCTGGAGGCAGGCTATCATCCCCCTGTAAGGCCTGGCACTTCCCTCCACAGCCACCGCCCTCCTTTCCCTGAGCATGGCCATCTGAAACTGTAACTGTGTACATCAAATGGGATTTTCCTGGCACTGTGGAAGAGAGGAAAAACCTCCCTCTCCCAGCTCAGGAAATGAAGGCAGTCGGTAAGAATCATCAAGTTCCTGGAGCTGGAGACCTGAGGCTGGCATACACACACACACACACACACACACACACACTATCCCCCCTCCCCCTCTTAGGTGCACAGGTTGCTAAGTGAAATCATAAGTGAAACTCGAATTTGGCTGGAAATAAATCAGCGCAAGGCCTTGGGTTCCAGCCCCGCTCCTGGGTGAGAAGTCATTGGGCAGAGAAACAGGAGGATGTGGGGTCCCAACCTCCCTGGGCCCATCCATCAGTGTCATTCTGCCTTTTCCTACTGGTCACTATCGTCTTCATCAGTCACTTGCGGCTCACTGGGAAGCACTGCCTCTATTCCACCATATTCCATCACTGCCTATCTGGTCTCGAGGTCTGCCTCGGCATGCCCGAGTGCGCGTGCGGTGGCTGTGGTGCAGGGCTCTCGCCAAGGTTCTGACCGGTCCTTGGCCTCTTTCCAAGCGCAAGGCGCCGACACAGACGCCGGGCCGGTGGAGCACTCTCGGGGACCTGGGCAGGAGGCGATGGGAGCTGGAGCCCGGGAGGCCCGCGGCCCCCGCAGTACCCTGGGGCTGGAGGCGGGCGGGCCCCTCGGCGGCTCCTCCCCCGCGCCCGCCCCCTCCCAACGCCCCGTGTGCTCCCGCCGCCCCTGCTGTAGCTGCCCCCGCCACGCACCCAGCTGCCTGACTGCCCAGGCCCAGGCACCGCCAAACTTTCCTCGGAGCCGGCGCGGGTGAGTCGGAGTGCGGCGTGGACAGGGGTGGGAACCGGGTCGCCGCGGCCCGCTGGGATGCGCTCTGGCCGGCCAGGAGCCTGGCATTCCTGTAGGGCAGCGGGGGGCCCTAGCAGCCGGTGGCACGAGGTGAGCGCGCTTGATGCCCTGGCGACGCGGGCCGCCTAGTTAGGGTGGCGGAGAGCGGCTGTCGTGAACCACAGCTGTGGCTGCAGCGCCCGGACGCGCAGACACCTGTGGCATCCCCCGGCTTGGCCAGGGTGCGCCTGCCAGCAGCTGCCTACGGTAGGGCGTCCTTCGGGGTTCCCGGAGCCGCCCCACGCCTGACTTGGATACTGACCTTGGATTCAGTCCATGAATGGAGTGTGATCGCTGTGACAAGCGCCGGGCAGCCAGTATTTTTCAATTCCTCCAGTAACTCCACGAACCAGGTACTAATATGCCCACTTTACAGAGGAAGATATTGAGGCTTAGGGAAGGAAAGCTGTGCCTCGAAGCAGGGATTTGAGCCCAAATTGGGCGTAGTTAAGTCATTTAAACTAGGCTCAACCCAAAGCATGTATCTGGATCTGAGAAGCCAGCCCGCCCTCCTCTCCTGGCAGACTACAGCACTGGGGCTGGGGACCAGCTCCTAAATGTAGGAGCGAGGATCCTTTGGGAGAAAAGGGTGACTGCTATGGCCAGGAGGTGGATTCTTGTGGCAGTAGTTCGTGGGAGCTGCTCTTTCGGGGCGAGGGTTGGGGGATACCAAATTCTGTAAGTTGTGCTAGGTTTTTCTAGAAGGAGCGCTGGAAGCCAGGAGCCTGGAGCTAGACCAGCAGCGGTTCACCTTTGAGGTGCCCGCAAGCCTGGGAGCTGGCGGTTCGGAAGGGGGAGAGATGCTCCAGGCAGGGTCGCTATCCTCCGGCAGAGGGCTCCCATCTCAGACCGAGCCAACCTGGGGGACCAGGCAGCATTGGGATAGGAGATTCCCTTGTCAGTGTCAAGAAAGGCTTGGAGGGCACATTCCATGATTTGGGAGTGGAGTGGGGGTAGGTCAGGGACAGGTGCATGAAGGAGAAGGCAAGTGGGGTCTGATAGGATGGGCTTGAATACCCGACTCTTGGTGTTTTCCTGGAGGCTGCCAGCAACCACTGGAGATGGGGAGAAGCCATCAGAGATGATTATGGGCTAGCCTTCTTAATACAACAGCCTTCCAAGGCACCATTGTTGAGCAAATAAATAGTCAGAGACTCAAAGAGGTTAAATAACTTGCTGACGGTTGCTCAGCTGGTCCATGGCAGAGTTGGGATTTGAATACCAATCTTGCCTGTCTCTTAGTCTATCAATGAAACTCAGGTGGCAGATGGAACCTTGGAGCCTTCAGTGCTTGTGGCTGGCAGCAGTGAAGATAAACAATAGAAGGATGCTAGGCAACAGGGTCCGCAGCACCTCTGCATCTCCCTCCGGTAGGTCTCTTTTGGTGGGTGGCTGCTGTAGAGTAGGTTCTTATAGGAACCCTGATCACCCAATGTACATACCTTTCTATGACTCAGGGCTTGCTGAGACTTCCATCCAAGGCCACCCAGCTGTCCCAAAGACATCACCCCTGGTAGAGGTGGGCAGGAGTTACCTGGTGCCATTTTCAAATATGACAAAGTCCTGCAAATCCAGGAGGTAGCTGAGTGCCACCTCTCCATAATTTCAGAGTTAGGCAGAGGCCAGAGCTGCCTGCCAGGGGACCCCACCCCCTCCCACCACACAGACCACTGACACTGGGCATTCCTGGCCTGGGAGGGGTCCCCAACCCTGAGCTGAGTGTGATGGGGAAGTACTTCTATATGAACTTCTTCCCTCATGCTTCTGAAACTCCCTTCACTTTCCTCTCCATGGTAAAGGAGTGCCTAGCAGGAACAGAGAGGCCTTTCTGTAGAACCAAGGCATGGAAGAGAGATCAAGAGTAGACCCTACTGCTTCCAACCCCAGTGCTGTTTCTCAGGAGCACTGTCCCAGTTGCTACATGCTACACTCTCTTTTCCTGCTTCCTCCTGTTTAAATGGAGGTATTATGGTTCCTTCCTGGACTGGTGAGAGAAGTGAGTGTGCTCACATTTAGAAAATACTGTGATGGTGCTGAACAATACTCCAAAGCACCATGTAAGTGTAGTTGTTATTGTTACCGTGATAGTCTGACAAACTCCACGCTGTGAGCCCACAGGCTCCTGGCCACTGCAAGCCCCTTGTGGTTTTGCTGTGTGTTGTGGTGTGGTGCTGGAGAGCCAGCCCAGAGCTTTATACATGCTATGCAAGCCCTCTACCACTGAGCTACATCTCCAGCCCCAAGTCCCCTGGCTTTCTCACCTGTCAGATGGAGCAGATATAGTGAGATGTAATATGCCTTAAAGTCTTACTGTAGCCTTGAATTTTAACAGGCGGATTGCAGAAGTGTCAGTGCAGACTTACTCAAACATCTAGCCCAGTGCCAGTTTCTCGAGAAGCACTGGGCATTGCCAGGATTACCACTGTTACCCAAACCTTCCTCCTTCACCTTGAAGCTTGAAATCTGATGTGGTTTTGAGGGGTTTGGATCTGGGGAAGTTTTCATACAGATGTCTTCTGAAAGGAAGGCCAGGTGAGGCTTGGGGACCCTTAGCATTGGAGAGCAAAAGAAAGGTGCTTCCTGTCCCTCAGTCCAGATTTGAGCTGTGTGCCCATTGCTTGGGTCCCCCACAGATGGGCAAGGCTCTCTTGACAATCATGGGGTTAAGGGGCATGCTTGAGGTCCTTTTTACAAGAGCCATCCACAGCTGTCTCAACGGAGGATACCAGCTACTGCCTTTGAGAATGCACAGCTGACTATGCAGAGGATGCACAGCTTCCAGGCAAGTAAGGCACATCCAGAGTTCCAAAGGTTTTCTCCCAGGAAAGTGAGTGAAGGTGGAAACCCAGCTATGGCCCTTAGAGCTGAGTGACCCTGGGTTTCAGTATTCTCATCTGTGAAGTAGCCATGAATCATCCTTGCCAGTGTCTATTTCTCAGGATTAGTACAGAGATGGACAGGCAGAGAAAAGAAGAAAAAAACAGCAGAGAGTATAAATGGCAAAGAATTACATGCAGTCGTAAGTAATTCTCATTAGCATTCAGGCTGGGCATTAGCTGTAATTGCTCCTGATCCAAGACGCTTTATCTGAAAGCCATACCTGGCAGAGGATCATTCAAGCCCCAGTCACCTGCTGCCCTCCCTTTCACAGTGACGCTGAGCATTTCTGAATCTCGGGATGTAATTATAACAAAGCTCCTGTATCTTATTTATAAGTGACTCACTTCTGCCATTAATGGTGGCAGAGGACTCAGACACACACTCTCTGGGAACAATGCTGCTGATGCTGCCAGAGACAGGGGAGTGGGGGGGGCAACAGGATACCTCACCTCTTTTAAGTATTCATCCTCCCTGCAATGATTCTACAGTGATCCTGCAGGAGGATCACATGGACCAGGACTGAAGCTGACAGCTCTCACTTGATGCAGTGGCTTGTGTGACAAGGGCCATTGCACCTTGCTGCTGCCAGGACAAGGTGTATCAGCAACAGCTGCATCATATATGAGGAGGAAGCAGAAGAGGGCGATGAAAACAGCTCTTTAGGGATGTGTTAAAAGTGTAGCCATTGGTGTCCAGTGGAGCTGAGTTTGGATGTGGGGTCTGCCAGTTTGTTAGTGAGGTTTGGATGTCATCCCAACTGCGATATTGGCTCTTACAGAAAGGGACTGTGTCTGTCTTATTAGAACCCCTATCATGAATGTAAAAAGCAGTCATAGTTATCTGTTGGAGAATTGAGCCTTGGCTTTTTCATCTATAAAATGGGGTTAGTTCAACACCCACCTTATAGTTTGCTATGAGAACTGACTGAGGAGATGACCAGAAGAAGCACTCAGCAGTGCCTTTGATGACAGGCAGGTGGACACAAGGAAGGACACTGTTGTCTGGTCTAGGAGACAGAATGGGGGGTTGTGGTTTCTACCCGCCAGACTACAAATAAGCAGTAGTACTAGTCAGAAGAATGTCTTATATTTATACAACAGTCTACAAAGTGTTTTCATTCCCATTTTCTCCTAAGCACTTGGTAGGAATCCCTATTTCTTTTTTATGGGCAAGGGAATAGAGGTTCAGAAGGGCTGATGGAATAGTGAGGATGCAGGTGGCCATTTCCACAAAAGAGATAAGTACACACCAGAAACTAAAAGCAATGTGAGGGAAGTATAAACCCAGGTTGGGCTGGCTTCCAAGACCAGCTGAGCTCTTTGTTGCCTCTAGAGGGTGGAAGGAGTAGTGCTTGGTCTTCCATTAAGGTAGTACTTCTCTTTAATGTAGGATATATTTAACCAATTTGAGCAGCTCACAGAATAGAGTCTTGATTTTTTTTTCCTGGTACCTTTGCACAGTCTTTTGTTAGACGTATTCCTAGTTATTTTCTAATTTGGAGGCTGTTGTATTTTCTGTGCATTTATATATTTTAAATTAAAGTTCTGTTGATTTCTAGTTGAAGAAATATATTTGCATGTTGCATATTGATTTTGTGTCTAGAAATCTTGGGAAAAACCTCTTATTCATTAAAAATGTCCTTGTAGATTCTTCTGAAAGCATGGTGTATACAGTGATAGGAGATACAGTTAACAGTGTCCTTCCCCCCCTTCTAATTCTCTTGCTTCTTCTTCTGTTTCTCCTATGACCTAAAGATAATGATGAATTAAAGTGGTTCTGTGAGCATCTTGCCTTTTGCCAGGCTATATAGGAGCTGCTGTAATTTGAGGATTCAATATAGTTTCACTCTAGGTTTTTAATAAATAACTCTGTCAGATTCGAAGAAGATCCTTTTTATTCCCAGTTTCCAGTTTGCTGAGTTTTTCTTTTCTTTCTAGTCATAAATGGAAGTAGAATTCTTACAGATGTGTTTTCTACCTCTGCCTGGATGATCACATGATCTTTCTCTCCTTTTTTTTTTTTTTTTTTTTTTGACTCTGTTAAAGTAATACATAACCTTGGTCTTTGCATTTCTGGAAGAAACCCAACCTGCATGATCCTGCAACAACATCTCTTGCTGATCTTTTGTGTAGGACCCCAAGATGAGTTCATGAGTAAATTTTCTAAGCACACTGATTAGGTTTTGGTGTTGAGGTTAAGCCAATCTCTTGAGGCTGGGCTCCTGCATTTCTGTTCTGGAAGCAGTTGATGAAGCGGGGTGTTGTTCTTCCTTAAGGGTTTGGTGGAGCTTATCAGTGAGGCCCCAGTGGGTGGATACACAAGTGGAGGGTGGGGAGGAAAGCCAGCTCAGCCAAGTCCAAGAGGAACTTTCCAGCATGGAGAGGCTTCTTGGCCTAGGGTGGAAGTGAGACTGCCACCTGTCCATCCTGAGTGACATGGGAAGAGCCCAGCTATGCACACTGGGTAAGCGGTG